GGACTACTTATGTCAAAGTCAATCGCCACGCTTTCATATAATTAACTAAGGAATTCTACACCACATTTTAGTTTAATGAACTACAAGAGTTTAATTTATTTACCGAAAATATGGTAGCATTTTGATTAATGGGTCATGAGTTTTCTATGTCTATTGTTGAATTTAATGTGTCTATGGGGTTTTTCTAGCAATTGAAATCTTTATCCGATAGGTTTTTACATGCTTGAACATGATTTTAGCCCTAATTTTTACCCATCGGCCTTATGGAGTGCTTGGTCCGTCCATACCAAACCATATCGACTCGGCCACTCCAAAAGTTCTTATTTTTGTAGGCCTATCCTACGAAGTCTCCATAGATTCTTGGCATACAATTTCTCGGATCGGAGGGAGAGGGATAACGCAAGCACATTAGCTAAGACTAAATTTTTCTTCTTATGGTATTTAGAACGGAATGTTATGGTAAATCCAAGGTATTGGATCCCGCACTTGATTACATTTTGTTATCCATAAAAATTCAAATTTGTTGATATTAGAGTCCTATATTACACACTTGGTTGTTAATTTGGGGGTGCTAAATCTGTCTCAACATAATTTTGATATTGCTTATGCTATGGAACCATTTGATCTACCTTGTTTAGATATAATGAGACTTCTCACTCTCAATGACAATAGAGCCTATACTTTTGCATCACCTAGACCTCATATTCTTTTCTCATCAAGACGCTCCTCCGGAAGACGGACCCTCGCCCCCATTGCCCCAATAATAGGCAATAGGCAATTGCCACGACAAGGTGTTTCTCCACCTCGCAGATCCTTCACCCCTTGCTTCCGTAGACAACCTCTATCATTTTGATAGGCTGCCTCGAGCGTCTAGAGAGTAACCTAATGGTGTACTTCACCACTCGAGGGTTCACCCCTCCATTTCCTCCTATGCCATAGTGGTGCCTTTGCATCTATATACTTACAAATGAGAATAAGTTTTCTTGTACTCTAACTTTTTCTTTTCTTTCTTAATTTTTTTATATTTTTTTATTTTGTTTGCATCTCCCTCTCTGTTTTGCATTCAGCTTGTGTTATTTATCTATTATTGCAATGAGCTCACATTGAGGACAATGTGTTGCTTAAGTGTGTAGAAAGCAAGCGAGTTGATTTTTTATTTATCTTGCATTTATATGTTTGTTGCTGTGAATTGCTGCCCTTACTTATGAGCATGTTTACATTTCATTTGTGTTATAATTCTACTAGTTGAATCCTCTTTTGAAATCCTCAATTCCGTTGAAAGTTATCTTGAAATGGATTAGAGTTATTTGAATTATTGAGTTGGGTAAAAATAAGATAGGAATTGACATGAACATATGGACACTCTTGTTGGAAATTTTTATGTATAACAACCCCCTAACGATCAGCTTAAATGAGAAATGTTAGAATTCACACACAACATGCATATGTGAGCTTTTGAACCTACGAGCATGCATTAATACAAGCTTTATTTTCTTTTTTATTGTGTGATTGTCTTTGTAAGTTGAATCCTTCTAGAACTTGCCTTGTTATACAATTCGAGATTACAACCATAGGTTGAATGCATTAAGATGATAAGGGCAATTAGGATTAGCCATTTCTAAATTTATTAAAAAAAAACCATCCCGATTTTCACCTTTAGGAGCCAAGTTTGAGCCTTAGCCTTTTCTTGATTTCTTAGCCACACTATAAACCACCTAATACCTTTATTTGCTAAACAACCTCTGTTTGACCCTTAATTCAAGAATTTTTTTACATATCTAATTGAGTGAGAATCTAATTTAGCTAATAATTTACTAAAAAGGCTTGTTGTCCTAATTGTTGCAGTTCATTAGTGCATGATTGCTCATTGTGGCAAATCATTTTGTTAAAAATAAATAAATAAATAAAGGAAACAGATTGGTATTGGCAACTTAGGCAAAACAAAATAAGCATGTAATGCTTGAGGAATCGGATTGTTAAAGGTAGAAACTTGTATAAGGTTCTTGACTTGTTTACATCAAATTAACCCCACCAAACCTCACCTACAACCCTATTACACCATACCATAAGATCTTTTGATTTTTGTATTTAATTCATGATCGGTAGTGGAGATATGATATCTTAGCAAGCCTATGGTAAAGATTTTTCTGTGCATTGACTTGAGAGTTGACAAATATAGTTACCCTAAACACCATGAGCGTTTTTTAGAGAATTTTCGATGAGGGTGATGAATTCTGTTGCATCACTAGTTTAAACCGATGGTTGGGGTTCGTTATACACCATTGTAGAAAGTATAGAGTTTCTATCATAATTGCCCTATTTTTGTCATGTTTTTAGTTCAACTCTTTAAGGCATTGCATTTTGATAGATGGACAGATTGGTTGAGACGGAATGGGGGGTTTAATGGGTTAGTTCGATAAGTTCGGATTATTGTATGCTTCGAGGGCAAACATGATCTAAGTGTGGGGGATTTGATAGTGATCATAATGCATGTATTTAATTACTCAATTCCACTATATTTTACTTTTTGAGGTATCCAAATATTAGACTTTAACTTTTTTTACATGTTATATATCGGGATATGGAATTGGACGACAACCGTACTAAAAATAGCCATATAAAGAGCAAATTCATAAGCAAGAATAATGTTAACACTCGGAAAGCACAAGGAGCGTAGGCACGTAAGAGTAATAGTATGGGCACGCGGATGCGGTAGATAGGCACATACAAGAGCATGAAGGCACGGGCACGTTGCAAAATGACGTGGGCACGATGAAGATCACGGAAACGGACAACGGACCTCAACTAGAAGATAAATTACGTTGCAATTTACCTAACAATAGACTAGGATTTTCTAATAGGGTAGAAAGAGAAATGATGATTTTGTATCCTTTTTGGAAAATAGAAAACCCATATAAATAGGAATATGGTAGAATAAGGTAGACACTTTTTTATCATTGTAGAGATGGTCGACTTTAGTTCCTTCTTTTCTCTTCGATGGCTACCATTAATATTATCATGAGCGACTAAACCCTCTTCTCTTGGGTAAAGGTAACTAAGGCTTTTGAAAATCAAAGATTTTGAGGTGCTTAAACATTAATGCAAATCATTTTGTTCATTTCAAGTATTAAACTTTCTTACATGCTTGTTTTTCATGATTGTTTAAGTTGATTACTATTATGTGTAGTTAGTTTATTGATCGATACAATCTAAAGCTAGATTAAATATTGAACCCGTAATTGTTTAATCCCTTTGATTCTTGTAGTAACTAGGAGTGTATGGTTTGTTATGTCGAAACTAATGACTCTTAGGAAGATTGTTTAACTCGGATTAAATACACTACATGTGTTGTTTGTCTTATTTTGTTGATCTTTATCATACATAAAACTATTATTTGATTAAATCTTAGATCATATCTAGAATTTTTAAATAATAAGGATTAATTAGAATGCATGTTTTAGTTGGCTAATCGTAAGGAAAGACTGATTTTCATATCACAATAAATATTTAAATGATAAATTGATATTTTTGCACACCAAGGATAAATCTTAAGTTCTAAAAGCTAATGTGACTCGAACCAAGGCTATTTACGTGAATATTTCTGAATTTAATTTGTTTAGTTTTGATTATATATCAATTGATTCCAAAACCCCTCCCTTTTTATTTTAGGTTATCCTTGATTTGTAACGACTAACGCAATAAAACTCTTTGTGGGATTGATCCCTACTCTCCTTTACTATATTTGTGTTGCAAGAGTTTAGGAATTTAATTTGGGTGTACGCGACGAGCACCACCACACACCATACCACCTAATGATTTTTTACAAAAGAAATACACCCAATACATCTAACTTTGATTACTCGAAATGGTGAACAAAATCCTTGACTCTTAACTTGAAATGATAACTAAAATAAACTCAATATAGCTAATGGCTTCTTTTCGGTTGAATTCTATACTTTTCGGGTTTCATCTTTTTTTATTTTTATTTTTATTTATATTCTTAAGTGACCGTAATTAATCTTATTACCTATCAGCAATTATTTTCTAATATATAGTTGATGTAGCATATAAAATGGTAAGAAACCTCCTTTCATTTGGGCATCCGGCAATTATAACTTCACCGAATACAATGCACGAAACGGGGAGTCAAAATTTTGTCCCCTCATGACTTGTTGTCTCATGCCTTGTTGTCTCACCAATCACCATAGGGATGGCAATTTGACCTATCTCAAATAGAGCCACCGCTCCGCCCCGATCAACATGAGGGTCAACACAAGGATTTCTTAAGTTGATTAGGGAACGGGACGGGATGGGTGCCCATTTTTATTTTGAACGGGGATGGGGTGGGGATCGTATTTGCTCATCCCGTCCTGTTGGCTTCGTTTCATTTTTAAAATTATAATCATACCCTATATAAAATCTGTGACTACTTACTCTTCGAGTTTATTTTGTTATATGAACTATCGGTTTCTTTACTATAGTTTGAAATTTGATAATAGAATGAGATAAGACGAGACGAAAAAAAAAATAAATGGGGTACAAGTGTCTCGTAGGGATCCCTATCCCTATTTGGAGCAGAGATAATATGATAAATTTTATCCTGCACAGAGCACGGGATGACAATGGGGCAAAATTTTTAAAGACAGGACAGAGATAGGATGGCCATCCTCGCCCCCGACCCGTCCCGTTGCCATTCCTATCTCACCATGACCGAGCTCTCTCAATACGGAGAAATGACCCAGTCCTTAAAATGTTATTGTCGTTGTAAAAATACAGAAGTTTCTTTGGATTATTTTATGATGCTGATTAGCCTATATTAAAACTTCTCGTCAATAGTTCAAAGTCAAGATCCAAGGCGTGCAATCCTGGCAAACGCGTTGAGGACCATATATGAGGCTTGACTATATGCTTCACTGCCAGTCACAAGTCAAACAAGATGGACAAGATATAACAAATTGCAATAAGAAAAAATTTGAACCATTCCCTTCTTGAGTTTGGTCATGGCTGAGACAGAGCAGGCCAAGCCCTTAGCCCCGGCAGCATTCCAAATCCGCAGCGATGAAGAAGAAATCCGGTCTAAGCAATCGAAAACTCGCCGACGAAATTGCATCAAGTGCTGTGGCTGCATCACTGCCATTTTTTTAATTCTTGCTACGACTATTGTAGTTCTAGTCCTTACAGTTTTTGATGTTAAGGATCCAGTGATCAACATGAACAAGTTAGTCGTGCTACGGCTAGAGCTTGCTAATGGGACTCTTCGAACTGACGTGAACGTGACACTTCTAGCTGATGTCTCCGTGAAAAATCCTAACGCGGCCTCATTCAAGTTTAACAATGGCACAACAACTGTTTACTATGGTGGCAAGATGGTCGGCGAGGCTAATACTCCGCCAGGAAAGGCCAAAGCGAGGCGGACGCTACACATGAATGTCACAGTAGACTTAATTCCTGAAAAATTATTGGCCGTTGGAAGCTTGATGAGTGACATAAGTTCAGCAGGGGCATTAACTATGAGCAGCAATACAATAATTGGCGGCAAGGTGAGGATACTCCAAATTATTAAGAAATATATTGTGGTGAGAGTAAATTGCACCATGACATATCATTTTGCTAGTCAGGCGATTCAAGGAGGTAATTGCAAACCGCATCTTAGTATCTAAGGGGTTTTGATAAGAAAAACTATAGATGTAGCTTTTACATTTTACTACACTTGTTCTTGTTGTAGTTTTTCTGCTACACATGCATAGATGGGTTGCTAAATAGCGTTCTCCTTGTGCAAAGTAACATTATAGATTGATACTTGAGAAATTTCTCCGCATGAATTTTGTACTCTTTTGGTTTTTTAAGAATGCTATATGAAATTATATTTTCTTTTCGAGATTATCTTGAATTTGTACTTGAAAAGCAGGCATTGCTACAAATGAATTACTTGCCTATATTAAGTCAAATCTTTAGCTAATCACAAGCCTAATCGGATGAGTTTGTTCGTTGGTGTCTACAAAAGGGATGATGAAAACGGGTCAGACCATGGTTTTTGGATTGGAACATTAAAGATGGGCAGAAAAGGAACATTTTCCATTCCCAGAGTTTGCAAATAACACAACAAATGTCCTGTAGTGTATGTAAAAAATAAATGCATTTAAATAGTATTTGTTATCCTACATTCTAGACTGAAAATGAAGTCCATAATTATGCAGCTCATAAGAATTCCTTAGCACTAAAATATTGGAATAAATTTCTTAAGACGAAATTTCGTGCTTGAAGAAAACAACCAAAAGAAAACTTCCTCGAAGTGACCTTCAGAATTTCAGTGGTAGGTCCCTTACTGGTCAATTGATCCGACCAGGCCGTTTGTTTGTTAATCATCAAGTCAACATATATGGTTTATGTTCACAAGATACAAACATTATGAGTTTGAATTAGTAGTTGCTAAGTTGCTTTCGTGCGGTGTGTGGAAATTTCTCTCCACCGGCCTATTGGAATGTTGCCAAAATCTAATTGTGATTGATTGTCAATATTTTCACTCTTGAGAGGCATGAAACGACTTATCAGAACAAGGGTAGCCACTTGGGATTTTAGTGATATTAGAAACAAGAAACTTTCTTTCTTTCTTTCTCTATTTATTTGTTTACTGAATAAGTTTTGGTAGTTCATCAGTATAAAATTTCAAATATTTTTTTTTACTTCAAATAAGATTTGAATTCCAATAATAACAGCTTACTCGACCAAAAATTGCCGGTCACTTGACCATATATATATTGCTAACAAAATTAGACCAGATTTGTCGAGAAAAAAAACACACCTACTATGAATTTGTTGGACAAAGTAATTAAAGCAAAAGCTTAAGACAGAAAGGGTAGACTGTCTGGCATCTTCTATGGCACCGATTAGAAAGATGGAGGTTATTTTTTCACAAGAAGCAAATTTGGGCCAACGTGGGCCTCATAAAGGCCGTATTGCGCTTGTAAATACCATATTTTAAATGATCATGAGCCCAACGACGGTATCATTACTAGGAGTTATTAGATCCTTTGATTTCCTAGAATCTAAATTCATATTCACTAAAAAGCTAAAATTTTATAAATAGGTGTTTAGTCACCGCCCCTTATAGTCCCAAATATAATTCTTGAATTTTTCATTCAAAAATTTTATCAATATATATTGCTTTCGATCATATTTTCTTCATTTATTTATATAATTTATTAAAGTCTTTTGATTTTTCTCAAACATTTGGATTTCTTCGAAAACATATTATAAAAAACATGTTAAACTCGTTCCGTGAATATTTCCATCCTTTATTTTCATCTTGATTATTTGCGTTTTTTATAAAATATTTATCTTTAAAATCGATCGATCTTTCATGCTCTAGGCATGTTTTAGATTCCTTTGCTATAATACTAATTGATTACCCTTCTAGGACATCAATTCTAATAGGAGTATTCTCTATAAAGACACGCATTTTAGTTAAACTTTTTAAATCTGAAAATGTATCTAGTAATTTGTTTACAAGATTTTGTAAATGAATTATCAAAACTTTTAGCTCACATTATGTTATGCAAGGATCAAGAAGATGTAAAGATGTATTACTCCATTTAATTTTTTTTTCAATATTTTCAACTCGCTTATTTTACTTATTCTCTCCTTGCTAATGTTGAACAAACTATTTCATCAAAATGACGATCGACAAATCAAGTTGTAAAAATATCTCATGTTAATAGTTCAAAATATTTGTTATAACAATAATAGATTGTCCTTCTAAGACATCAATTCTAATAAGAGTATTCTCAATTGAGACATGTATTTTAGTTACATTTTTTATATTTGAGAATGCATCTAGTAATTTATTTGTAAGATTTTGTAAATGAATTATTAGAACTTCTAGTTCACATTATTTTATGTAAGGATCAAGATGATGCAAAGATAGAGTACTCCATGTAGGGTTTTTTCAACATTTTCAACTACTTATTTTACTTATTCTCTCCTCGCTAATGTTGGAAAAACTATTTCATCAAAATGACGATCGACAAATCAAGTCTGTAAAAATATTTCATGTTGATGGTTTAAAATATTTAATTATCGAATGAGATTTATATCCAAGTATATATTCTCAATCTTCTTTAAGAACCTATTTTAGTTCATTATGGAGGAGCAATAGGGATAGAAACCAATTAAAGAGGAGAGAATTTCTAATAACTTATAGATTTGATATAAATAAGTGTTACTACATATAAGATTGTGTATCCCCAAATATAAATATGAAGTTTTGTTTTCAAAAGTAATGGTTTAGCTATTAATTGAAGCTTTTTGATAAATGATTCTCGCTAAACCTTTTTGATTTGAACACAAGCAACATATTATTCAACCTTTACTCTAATAGCCAATCAATAATTATTTAATGCTTAAGAGGTAAATTCACCAGCATTATTAAGGTGATTTGTTTAATACCATAATCCAGAAATTATGCTCTTAATCAAATTAGTTGACCGATAAACATAAAAAATGCTAGGTTTCGAGTAGATAATAAGCATAGATATGATCATCTTATGGTTGCATCTATTAAAATTATAAAATATATAAACGATCCATATGGTAGATGAATTGATCCACATATATCACCTTGAATACGTTTTAAAAATACCGAAGATTCAATCTCAATTTTACTTGGTGAGAGCTTAATAATTAGTTTGCCTTGAGAACATATAGAAAATGAAAATTTATTTGATTAAAGAATCTTCTAGCTTTTTAATAGATACTCATATGAATTTTTAATATTTTTTTTGTATCATAAAAGACCCATGATAGCCAAACCGGCCATGCCACATAATAAAAGTATTTGAAATTAGTAAACTTCGATTTACTATAATATTTGTTTCAATCATTCAAATGTTTGTAATGAAGATCAGAAAAGAAAAAAAGGTAATTTCTCTAATACATATTTTCTATCTAATGTAATAATTATAATATATAAGTATTCAATATTTTTCACATTTGTTGTTTTGATATCCATTTAGACGAATATCTTTGAAACTCGGCAAATTTCTATGATATCTTAGAGAGAATAATGCATCATTTATAATAATTTTTTCTTTTAAATAATGATATATTTGATCTTCCGTAACCTTCAAAATTTATCCCTTTAGATAATAATATATTCGTTCTTGTGGATACTTCAAAATTTATTTCTTCGGATAATAATATATTGGCTTTTGTTTAGTTGGGCGAGATTCATGATTTTTTATCAATAGCTCGTTATTTTGTTTAGCCATAAGCAAACATGAAATCAATTCAAAATATTTCTTATAAACTTTTTCTTGATATTGCTACCGTAAGAGCATATTCTAAGCATGAAAAGTAGAGAAGTTTTTCTTAGGATCTAGCTCCTATGATAAATAATTCTTGTTCATAATGTCAAAGGCTACAAAATTGAGATTTGTGAGATTTGATATGATCGAAATTCTATAATACAAGATACAATAATTAATGTTGAGAAGTAAGAACAACCATAATAATAAAATTTAAACTTTTCAAACAACATATTTTATATTATTAGATTTTATATATTAAATCATTTAAATTTTTAAATATATACTCTATGTATCATTAGATTTAAAAAAATATGATAAATTAAATACATACTTTTTAATAATCTATATAATTTAGATATTTTTGTAGAACACTCGTATAAAGAAATAATCCAATCATTGAAATAAACGATTGAGTCTTTTTATAGATACATACATCATAGTCTATTAATTCGTGCTGATAATTTATTATAAAAGAAATTACTATAAACTAAAAGGTGTGGGGGGTTTGAACAATGGTAATCACTTTCATCCCTTTACATAATACTATTCATTCTTGTAGCACTCTTTTTTTTTTTTAGTTGTTTCTATCCTTTTTTTTTTATCTTGCCACGGCTGAGCCTCTCTTTTGGCTTTTATTTTTATTTTAGTTCCTTTTTTGTAATCTTTTTTTATTTTTGTCATTAAAATTTTATTATATTTGATTTTTGTTTCTATAATAAATATTTTTTTCTTGGCTTTTAGTATTTTTTTTTCAAGTTGTTTCTCTTTTTTTTTTTTTTTTGTTTCTTGCTATAGCTAAGCCTCTCTTTTGGCTTTTATTTTTATTTTATTCCCCGTTTTGTAATCTTTTTTTTTATTTTTGTAATTAAAATTTTATTATATCTGATTTTTATCTCTATAATAAATATTTTTTTTGGCTTTTAGTAAAAATTCATATTCTTTTTTTGTTCTTATTTTGTGATATGTTTTTATCTTAGTCATTAAATTTTTATCATGTTTGATTTTTATCCTTACTCGTACTAAAACTAAATAAAGTTTCATTATCCCAAGTTGTTTTTTTTTTTTTGTTGCTTTTAGTAAAGCTTTTCTTTCTATTATAATTCTTGTTTTGTTATTTTTCCTTATTTTGGCAATTAAATTTAGCGAGATAAATTAAGACCACTTATAACCAAAGAAAGAGTAACGAAACACTAGGAACAAAATGTAAAAAAGAAAAAAAAACCATTAGCACATCCGAGTTATAGGAAACCAAGCCAATGATAATAAAAAAATGATAAATGAATAAAGGCATTTGTAAAAAAATAAAAAGCAAAGAAACACTAATTAGATCGAAAAAAATAATATGAAAAATGCATAAAAATAATGAACATGCAAAATTCAAATCAATAAACAATAGCACATAGAAAGTTTTCCTTACGAAATGGAAAACGATGATGACCAATTATAGTAAAATCTTAT